CGCGGATGTCGACCGTGTAGTTTAAGCTTCCAAACCTGACCTGGTGGCCAGGGGCGTAACTCTCGATCTGCTCCAGATGGCCAAGCGAGTTGTCCCGCAATGCGAAGCCGCCGAATACAAAGATCTTCCCGGGGAGAAAAGTCTCACCCTGGACTGCATCACTATCGATGATCGAAGGAGCCATCAAGCCTAACGGTGACGACACATAGGAACTTTCAATGAAAGCACCAATGTCGGTGTCAAAACCGGCGGATCTCTGGTAGGGGATCCCGAACTGTGCGTCTAAGGAGGATGGTAACAGGAGGCAGGGGACACGATGTTTTACCCAGGTTCGGGCCCTCTTGATGGAGGTAAAACCCTACGTCCTGCTTGATTATTCTTGATAATATGAGTAGTACAAGAGTAGATTTACCACGAGATCAGAGAGGCTAAATCCTAGAAGCTAGCCTATGGTATGATTGTATGTTATCCTACGGACTAAAACCCTCCGGTTTATATAGACACCGGAGGGGGCTAGGGTTACACAAGGTCGGTTACAAAGGAGGAGATATACATATCCATATTGCCTAGCTTGCCTTCCACGCCAAGTAGAGTCCCATCCGGACACGGGACGAAGTCTTCAATCTTGTATCTTCATAGTCCAACAGTCCGGCCAAAGGATATAATCCGGCTGTCCGGATACCCCCTAATCCAGGACTCCCTCACCCTATCTTTCTCTGTGTCCGATTAAAACTTCATCACCATAAATATCGCGTGAGTGTTAGCAATTGTGAAAGACTAAATGATGGTTGAGTATGTGGACTTGCTGAGAAGCTCTTATATTGACTTTTTCCTATGTTATGATAAATTTCAATTGCTTCAATGACTGATATCATAGTTTGTTAGTTTTCAATGAAGTTTCTGATTCATACTTGAGTATGTGAATGGATTGTTACTTTAGCATAAGAGATCATATGACAATATATATATATATATATATATATATATATATATATATATTGCTGTTATAAGAATGATCATGATGCCCTCATGTCTGTATTTTATTTTATCGACACCTCTATCTCTAAACATGTGGACATATTTTTCAATTTCGGCTTTCGCTTGAGGACAAGCAAGGTCTAAGCTTGGGGCAGTTGATACGTCCATTTTTGCATCATGCTTTTATATCGATATTTATTGCATTATGGGCTGTTATTACACATTATGTCACAATACTTATGTCTTTCCTCTCTTATTTTACAAGGTTTACATGAAGAGGGGGAATGCCAGCAGCTGGAATTCTGGGCCGAAAAATGAGCAAATATTATAGACCTATTTTGCACATCTTCAAAAGTCCTGAAACTCCACGGGAATTATTTTCAGAATATATAAAAAATATTGGGCGAAAGAAGTACCAGAGGGGGGCCACCCACCGTCCACGAGGGTGGGGGCCCCGTCCTACCCCCTGGGCGCGCCCCCTGCCTCATGGGCCCCCTGGTGGCCCTCTGATGCCCATCTTTGTCTATATGGAGTCTTTCGTCGAGGAAAAAATCATAAGCTATATCACGGGACGAAACTCCGCCGCCACGAGGCGGAACCTTGGCGGAACCAATCTAGGGCTCCGGCAGAGCTGTTCTGCCGGGGAAACTTCCCTCCGGGAGGGGGAAATCATCACCATCGTCATCACCAACAATCCTCTCATCGGGAGGGGGTCAATCTCCATCAACATCTTCACCGGCACCATCTCATCTCAAACCCTAGTTCATCTCTTGTATCCAATCTTTGTATCCAAACCTCAGATTGGTACCTGTGGGTTGTTAGTAGTGTTGATTACTCCTTGTAGTTGATGCTAGTTGGTTTACTTGGTGGAACATCATATGTTCAGATCCATTATGCATATTAATACCCCTCTGATTATGAACATGAATATGATTTGTGAGTAGTTACGTTTGTTCCTGAGGACATGGGAGAAGTCTTGCTATAAGTAGTCATGTGAATTTGGTATTCGTTCGATATTTTGATGAGATGTATGTTGTCTTTTCTCTAGTGGTGTCATGTGAACGTCGACTACATGACACTTCACCATTGTTTGGGCCTAGAGGAAGTCATTGGGAAGTAATAAGTAGGTGATGGGTTGCTAGAGTGACAGAAGCTTAAACCCTAGTTTATGTGTTGCTTCGTAAGGGGCTGATTTGGATCCATATGTTTTATGCTATGGTTAGGTTTACTTTAATACTTTCGTTGTAGTTGTGGATGCTTGCAATAGGGGTTAATCATAAGTGGGATGCTTGTCCAAGTAAGAACAGTACCCAAGCACCGGTCCACCCACATCAGATTATCAAAGTACCGAACGTGAATCATATGAGAGTGATGAAAACTAGCTTGACGATAATTCTCATGTGTCCTTGGGAGCGCTTTCCTTTTTATAAGAGTTTCTCCAGACTTTTCCTTTGCTACAAAAAGGATTGGATGCATCTTATTTACTTTTACTACTTGCTACCCGTTACAAATTACCTTATCACAAAACTATCTGTTACCGATAATTTCAGTGCTTGCAGAGAATACCTTGCTGAAAACCGCTTATCATTTCCTTCTGCTCCTTGTTGGGTTCGACACTCTTACTTATCGAAAAGGCTACGATAGATCCCCTACACTTGTGGATCATCAAAATACTGCGTTCCCCAACACTTGAGTAGGGCATCAATCTCACAAACCAGTGCATTGCATGTCTCATTGATGCACAGAGATGGTAGTTCACATCCAAGCACCACCTTGAGTGGTGAGTTGCCCAGGGCCGATGTTAGCCCAACATAAGTCTACAAGAAGAAGGTTGCGTAGTAGATATCACTGTCCTATGGTGCCCTCTGTGTCACGCAAACAGAGGGATCCACGCTATAGGGTGTTGCAATACGTTCATGGTTCGCTTATGGTGGGTGGCGTGAGTGACAGAAGCACATACCCAAGTTTGGGGGTCATTGCGTATGGGATAAAGGGGACTTGATACTTAATGATATGGTTAGGTTTCACGACCTTAATGATCTTTAGTAGTTGCGGATGCTTGTTAGATTTCCAATCATAAGTGCATATGATCCAAGTAGAGAAAGTATGTTAGCTCATGCCTCTCCCTCATATAAAATTGCATGAATGATTATCGGTCTAGTTATCGATTGCCTAGGGACAAATGACTTTCTTGTTGACAAAAGCTATCCACTTTTATTACCTTGCAATTTATTCGTAGTTTTATTCTCGCAAAGTACTCGTGGTTTTATTCTTACAAAACAGTTTTATATTTATTTTAGGTAAAGCAAACGTCAAGTGTGTGTAGAGTTGTATCGGTGGTCGATAGATTTTGAGGGAATATTTGTTCTACCTTTAGCTCCTCGTTGGGTTCGACATTCTTATTTATCGAAGAAGGCTACAAACGATCCCCTATACTTGTGGTTTATCAGATATTCACCACATTTTCCCTTTTGTCGTCACCACATGCACTTATATGTTTACCATGTTTACTCCAACATGCATATCCTAACATGAATACCCTCTAGATCAAATGTGTCCGGATCCCTATAATGCTTTTGATATCTTGCAAATTTTACACAGGAAACATGGGGAACATATCCATTTGCCTTCCTTCTCAACCTATCTCGATCGACTGCTTCCAAAAAATCTGACAGCCCATCCTTGAACTCATTGCTCAAACGGCTCTCGATGTATATCCAAGCTCGATCCATGTCTGCAACAAAACAAAAGCAGCACATTAATAACCTACTATTACAAGAAATTATATGTGAATCATAATTATATTTAACACAATATCACATATTTTTTTTACTCTGCATATTAACTTTGTCTTAAAACAATCCTTTGTGAACTTTGCCTAACTTTGTATTCATATTTATTAGCATCTACAATATCAAATCTCAATACCATTGAATTCATCTACACATGGATAACATCGACTTCACTTAAGTAACATGCAAAGTACATCAAAACAGAGGGAGTATATACCTTCGATTCAGTTATAGAATGATAACAGAAGCCCCTCCTCAAAATGGCACCCGACGACAACACACCACTTCAAATTGATGACCGGTGGCAGCCATCCCCCTCACAATGGTGCCCAACAAAAGCCATCTACCTCAAATCAATGATCGGTGGCATCCATCCCCTCAAAATGGTGTCCGGCGACAACCCTCCATCCTGAATCAGTGATGATGACAACAACATCCTCCCCCTCAAAACAGTTATCGTCGACATCCCTCCACCTTAGATCGATGACAAGCAACGGCCGCCATCCCACTCAACACGGTCAAGAGCGACGACACTACCCACTCGAGTGAATGGACAACTTCCCAGCGAAATCATAGTCAGTGAGGTCGGCTATCAAAGTATTGGAGGCAGTTTCCAAATTGCGAACCACCGTGTATTATCAAGTATTGGAAGTGATTTCCAAATTGCAACTGCCGCCATGTATTCTCATAGGTGGTTTTGTTTCATAATCGTATGGAATAAATAAGTACTACATATAGTTTCTGAACTGTAGTTAGGTACTCATGTGGAACTGCCTCTATTGTTCAGCATTACATACTACTTTGTTCCTCTGCATCACAACCACTTGGGGGGGGGGGGACCTTTAATGCCCGTTTTTCTACTAGTGCGGTCTCATATGACAAACTTATGATGTCTGCATATTTCTCCATAGTAAAACACATGACTCTCATACCGTGAACAATTTGTTGAAGAGAAAGCCCCCAATATGAGTAAACTTTTACGAATTGTTATTTACATGTACAACGTGAATTTAAACACGAAATCTGCCAAAAAGATACAACAAGAAAACTAGAAGGTTGCTATCCAATGCTTCAAAAAAAACTACCATGCTCTGCCCTAACATGTAAAAAAACTTGCACTAAGCTATTGGTTTTACAATTTAATGTAAATATGTATATACTCTGGGTCGCCTTATACTCACTGCTTTGGCAACAGGGAGTATATTAACATTTTAGGCTCTGTAATATTAGCTATGATTCATTTTGAACCAATGCCCTCTCATCAAGCCACCGAATGATATCCGAAAACACAATGTCAATGTTGTTCTCTGGTTCACCGGAAGTCAAAGCATGGCACATCCCTGGGTAGAGCTTCAGTGTCTTGTCTTTACTCTCAGCTAATGTATATAGTGCCTCACTTACTGCTGGGTCAGTCACAGCATCAGCACCACCATGGACTATAATGAATGGCAGGGTTACCTTGTTGTAAAATGTGAGCAATTTAGATGAACTACAAGCAAGTTATGAAACTACTTCAGGATTACCAGTTCAATGTATAAATATACTGCAGCTTGCTCGTACCTTTTCAAGATTGCTTTCAATATCCAAGCTTGCCATAAAAATTTCGTAACCAGTCTTTAGCCTAGGCCTTCCTTTATAGCAATAAGGATTGTTTCTGACCTGATTACATGTATACTTTCATTTATAGATAATGATGCAGACGATTCAGTGACAGAAAAAGTAATGTAGCATGATTTAGATCTTGAGCATTCTACCTCTTCACGCCATTCTTGGCTTTTAATTGCCCTATCAATGATGTCTTCATTAGGAATAATCTTCCATGTAGGGATTACATTGCTGAGCTTGCTTAAGATTGTAATCACCATGGGACTAGGCTTCATTTCTTCTACGATCTGCATCATGTTACCACATCAATAAACAATTCATGGTAACACATGGGGGGCGCAGATTGTAGATCTCAAAAAATTCTAGACAATAACAAAATGACACTAGCAGCAAAGACAAGATTAGCTAATCTTGGACACTTAACCTTGCACATGGGGGCAACTAAAATGGCCCCATCCCAAAAGGTAGGTTCCTTCCTGTGAAGCATCAACGCGATAGCTCCTCCCATGGACTCACCGAGCAAGAACTTCCGTTTTCTCCTGTGCTCCTCTTTCTCTATAATGAGGGGAACATGACTTCATTTAAGATTTTAACTGTCATTTTTAAAAGGTTTGAAGTTTTCTAGACATCCACAAATCACCTATATCTGCCAATAATCATGAAAAACGCCGGTCATTATATGACATATGCTTACTGATTATTTATGAACAGAATGACTACTAATGAAGACAATACATAACTATGGAGATTTGGAGTAGATTTTACAAGTTATATGACACAAGTAATAGAATATATGAGACTAGTAATATACAGAACAGAACATACCACAAACACTTGCAAAGTATGTAAAGCAATCAGCCACGACATCATTTAGATTGCTAATATAGCCTTGAAGTCCTGAAGACTTTCCATGGCCTTCATAGTCCACTCCGTGCACCGCAAATCCAGCCTTTGCCAGCCGTGTGCCGGTGCCTGAGAACAATAAGATGTTAATTTATTGTTCCTACTCTATGATACTTATCTGGTTATTCTTCTTTAGCATTAATCCAAATAAAAATGGGATTGATACATGGGTATATGATCACATTTAAAAAAAATTGTGTACCATTATTTATGAATCAGCACAGAGGCCATTTTCTTTGATATTTTAGCTAAGTACAAGCACATAAAAGCCAAATGGTCATGCTATTTACCTCTCATTGAAATGCTGCATTCCATGGCATATCCTACAAATATAGCAAGAACAGCACGTGTACAGTTAAACTATATGACGCAAAACACTGCAGAGTTCTATTCTTTTGGTAAATATCATGGTATTTTAAATTTGAATACAATATATTTCAACTAAATGAATTTACCATGACATAGGAAGATGAGAGCTTTTGGATCGTAGTTTGAAGGGCTCCATCGGCATGTAAAGAGGTTCAATCCTCGTGCATTTGAAATATATTCCTGCAACCAATTTTTCCAACAGATCATTCAGTAACATTCTAATACACAATTAAAGTATCGCATCGATCAAACATAAATAAAGAACTCAATGCCGGATGCACCTTCAAAACAAAATATTCAGCATAAGGTAGGAACGAATATATAATGTATTTAGAGGCTTCGTTTCTGTATGGAACCAACTAACCTCTTGATATTTGATATCATCATTGGCCATTGCTCTCGATAGGAAACGATGACTTCATGGCTAATGTATATGTGCAAAACTCAGACATTAAGAAATGATTTAAAAAAAGAGCGGTCGTTATATATACGTCCAGATCTGTGGACAGTTCTCATTTTGTTCGTCGTGTTCTTTATATCCATGCATGAAGTTGCGGCATGTATGGTCTAGGAGTGATCAATTTTAACCAACAAGGCTAAGTTTAGTTTGAACTACCTACCTCAATTAGGCCATCCTAGATTAGGTCTGAATTTTTTTGTGGTTAAATAATGGGAAGAAAAATAGTTGTACCCCGTGTATGGCACGAGATAATCGGTTGTTTTCGTTCTAACTGTCATTGTTTGGTCAGGAAAAACGCCAGAGAATTGCGTTTTAAACACATGTTGCTGATCAACTGACGAGTCCATGTCAATGAACGTGTGGCATATATACATCATGATCGGCCCATTTGGTCTGACTTGAATTAAATGTGATGTATATAAGATAAGACCTGGAGCTGGAGCTGTGATGTGCAGCGCACAGTCCAAAACTGTTGGTCGTTGCTCAGTTGTTATCACACCCTACTGTAGCCTTTCGAAACGAGAAAAGCAGAATATATGCAAGAATCAGCAGGTGTCCAAGCAAGTCTGTTCTTTGAACAATGAACATCCAGATACCCACAAATGTGTCCCCATTTGTGTAACTTTGTGTTGTTGATTCAGACAAAAACCCAGCCTATTGAATTATTCAGTGCAGGTTTCAGAAAGACGAGCCTCAACATGCTATCTATCCAGGACAATACTAATAGATGAAAATCACTTTGATGCGTTGGTAGCAAAGTGGTTTCTGCTTTATTGTCAGGAAAACATGTACAGATTCTCCAGAAGATGGGAGAAGAATATGTATGTATGCCGGCCGGCCGGCGGCGAGGAGATGTGTAGGCACCAGCAGATTAAGAACCTTGCTTGTTTTCAGTGGTTATGGAGGAATCTTGATCGATCAGCTACATATATGCCTAGCATGGCTTGTGTTATTCTGTTCCGGTTCATGTCTCACCGGCCGTGCGAGCAATCGAGAGCCGGCCGCAAGACCAAACCTCCCCACCGGCGGCGCATGCACACGGTGGCGCGGCGTGCCCTCCCCATCCGATCGCTTTTTTTTTTT